AATGCAGAAACACACACATAAACACAGTGTGATGTCATCGGTACAGGGGTTTATTGCTTTTTGCCAGTGTGCCTGCGCAATGCAGTCCCACACGATTGAGCCCAATCAAACTAAAAACTCACATAATCACTCATATTTGCATCTCTTGTACCACGTACAGTCTGCCATCTTGTACAACAGTTTTCATGTCAATGGTTCCCTCTCTATTGAGTAAGAAGGCTATTGACAACCAACAATGTAACCATTTCCCCCGAGGCATGGTTCCAAATGCTTGAATAGACAGTTCAACACGTTCAACCATCCATCGCTCCAGTGATGTTGGCCAAACATGCCCAGTATTCAACCCAGCCTCCCACTTCAATTCTCTACACCAGCAAGGAAATACTTGTGCAGCAATCACACTGGGTGACTTCAGTCTAATCACTGACTTACTTTGCAACAGCAAGGCGGAAAGGGACCTAAACCCTTGAGTTTGTCATTAAAACACTGAACTGGGACTCAGGTATGCCATCTTCCACTCTGATCCATTTATCCAAAAACATAATTCAGACTGGTAAAAGTGATGTGATTCTCAAGTGAGATAATTCCACAGCCATGCTTGGTTTGAAGGCAGTCCCCTCGATGAACAAAAGAATCCTTGGTATTGTCTACTGTTTCCAGATTTATGAAAAACATACCTGCAACCAGAATTCTTTTACAATAGTCATTCCATAGTGGTAAATAGAGCGTCACTCAAGCTGGATGGTGTGGGTACCCAAGACTTGATCTCAAAGTAAGTAGATTGACATGAAATTTGACTGCAAAAAAAGGCAGGTAACCACTCCAAGCCTTCTAATTACAGAACTTTCAGTCTAATTTTCTTACTTGGTGTCCTTGGGAATCAACATGCACTGCCGTTCAGTCAATTCAATCTTTTTTACCTTCTCCTGTCCAACAACAATTTCGGATGAACCTTTCTGCAAATTAAGTGATTCCACATGAACGTGAGCATTGAATTAAAAAAATAAATCGAGAAAAGAATTTTAATTCAGAATTCTGATGCAACTTTGATCACTAGTGGAGAAAAAGACAGCCACTTTGATTCAAGATCACCAGATACACTGTCATTGGCAAGATACATATTTTATGGAAGTTGTGAAAATATCCACAGTTGCAAAACCGCTAAGCCCTAAAATACATAAAAACTGACGGCAATAAACAATAACTACATTTGTGACCTGTCACCACAGAATTAGCTGAAAGTCAGAATTTTCAAAAATTAAGATACTGATATTTTTGAATTCTGCCGAAAAAGAGCTTGCCAATGGTAGTAGATGGAATACCTAGGGTAAAACATGAGGTGAAAATGTGCATTATTCTAGCAGCTTTGCAAATTTGTTTCCGACTCTGTTTCAACATTTCTGACCAGGTACGAATAATGCTATCATCAAAATTGCTGAAAAATATTAAATGTTTAAATATAGAATGTTGTGAAAAACTTAAAGGAGCTAGGTTACTCTTTCCAAATATAACAAAACCCCCAAATTGACCTCCAATTCAATATTTGACTTTGAACTGTCAAAATAGGAAAGAGCAGAATGCAACTTTACGCTCATTTTGTCGTGATGGGTCACATTTATCTTCAAGCAAACTTAAATCCTTGATCTTGCCTGGTCAATCCACATATGCTACATATTAAAATAAAAGTCTATATTGCACTCTGTGTATTATGCAATTCCAAAGGTAAGGGTACTCCTGCATTCGTTATGTGAAATGATTCACAGAGCCATACAGTTCATGGTGAACTCAAAAGTGGTACAAGAGCATCTGATGGCATTTTGGTTTGATGGACATCTTCTGTGTTTCATATTACAGTGCATCAAGTTTGCTTGAAGAGACACACTACATTATTCAGTGTTTAATGAGTGCAGTGGGAAATTAACACGAGCTACACGAAAAGTCAAGTCAATCTAATTGATATACATGCAAGGGGATGAGAGAAAAGCCAGGATAAAATTGACCATGTTGATCTATGGCTTCAGTCTTTGTTGCAAACATAAACGTCAGCTCCTCACACTCCCTAAGCTTTGGGTGATGAGTGAAGAAGTCTAGACTCTGGGATATGGGATTAAAACATCTGCCCGAGGCACAGACTAATCTATGGGTACTGAGAAAAGAATGCTGGGCTGACACCTGACAGATAAATTTTGGGATACGAGATACAAATGTCTGCACTAGGCACAGCCTAAACGATGGGTGCTTGGCAAAGAATGCTAGGGTTATTGTTTGAGAAATCATTCGTGCAAGACATACACATAAGTCCTTCAGTCCATTTCATTATATATCTACAGCACTCACCAACTGCCAAGTCCATATCTCAGCTGCCTCACAGCCTCCGACGTGATCCCCTGGTCCATACACTGCAATCTAATAAAACACATATCAGCAATACATGGATTAATGAAAACAGCTGCCCTACAAGAGGTAGTTTATGTGAATCAGGTACCAACAGTATCAGTCTTCAGTATGCATCCAAATTTGGAAGAAATAAGCTTGGTACATTATATTAATGTAAGATCTTGTCCTTTCCAACTCCAAGCACTTTTGCAGCAATCTGTGTTCTTCATACTTTCTGATAAATTGAAACACCAAACCTCCTGTGGTGTAAAAGTAATCAGGCTTGAATTGACAAAAAAATTGAACCCGGGTGTGGAAGTTTTTGTCAATTCATGAGGGTCAACATCAACAGTGGTGTGCATTTACCAACAGTAGAAGAAGCTGATGCCCAATTGAAATAAAATCTGGGTCCCCACATAAACCAACATCAAAATTCAAGGAAAAATGAAAAGTATGTACGAGATTTTTTTTATATTTTGGAAGTTTTGCCCTTCACTGACAACACTGTATAGCCAGTGTTGTCCAAGGGCTTGTGAAAAAATGATTAAGCGCATGTGACAAATACATTCAAATAGCCAAATCTGCCTGAACCAAAAGGCTCCTGGACCTTTGGTTTCAAAATCTAAATGACAAGTTTATGTATACTGACATTGTTAGTGGGCAATGAAAATGCCTGAATTACCACACCAACTTTGAGATCAGTGCACCCTCCCAGTCTCCCCGAAAGAAATGTACTTGGCTTTTGGGAGCTTGTCCAAAAGGTTGAACCGCAGTTGGAACATGGACACCGCGGTTTCACAGGTCCTTAGCAACCAGCCGACTGTCCACTGCCAGTGCCAATATAGTTTGCACCATGAGGTAAAGAAATGTAACGCTTGGTGTCACCCGCTAAAATGCACATAATGGTACATGCACTTTGGCATTCCACGTAGCCTGGTTTTTATTTTGAATTTTCCCCGCATAAAATCTTCAAAACCTGTCCATTTTAAACCTGGTATGCAAATGATATTCTAAAAAAAAAACATCAGACTTCAGGCATACAAGAACAATGAAAATTCACTTTCTGAGGGATGTTGTATGCTTGTGCAGAGTTGGCTAGAGGAGAATGCAAAATTAACTATGCAGTAATTTGAGGTTTACCTCAAGGTTTTACAGGGCTTTTTTAGGGTATGTTCAGGTAAAACGTCTATGTACTGCCTCTTTAATTCTGCAATCTCCCCACACAAGTACGTACCTGGTCCAATAATTTGGAACCGGTTTTGACATCAATAGTGAGGTACACAGGTACGTGTCTCTGGTTCTAATGCCCACACACACACATCAAGTAAAGTTATATGCCCAATGAGATGTGAACCAACCTCAAATTGATACTTGTCTCCAAAGACCTTCTTGAATCCTTTCTCTTGGATCTCCTCCTGATGTTCATCAATCCAGCCCTGGAGAGAGAACGGAGCCTCCACCTCTGTCTCGGTGTCCAAGGTCACAGGTGGATTTTCCGGGATGGTCCCTAAGAATGTGACCGGTGACAAATGGTTCACACTTCTGATGCTTTCTAGGGCGTGGGGTACTAGATTTCGCGATCTTGGTGGCAAGTTGATCCGAATGTCCCTTGTTTTGAAATAATTCAACCTTACAAACTTGAAACTCGGCGCCAAGAGAGCATGACAGGAAGTGTGGGAATCATGTCTAGTGATTTACATGTCTCTGCACAAACTCATCGACCCCCGAAATAATTTGATGCTTACATCTTCTAGATGTTTCAATTTTTTATCATCATGTATTATTTTTTTACGGGCGTGGCTTTTCTCCGGGATGCCTAGCTCAGGACACACAGCCATATGCCTTTGACTTCAAATACATATCTTTGTTCTGCAGGCACTAGTTATGGAAATGGTCATGTGAGGCACATGTGCTGTTTTGGTAGAGCAAAAACACAGGCACAAAGCTAGCAATAACTGCAATGCTGCCAACATGGATCCAAGGAAATGGAACATACATGTACAAACTCTGAGGGATAACTGATTGGGCTTAATTTCTTTTGTCACACCAGAACATCAGGTTGTCCATTATGAAGATGGGTGGATAGTGTTCAAACATTTGTAGTGTATTCTCTATAGATCCATTTTTATTCTGCAGACTGATACAAGGCTGAGCAGTGTCAATTTTCTGAGTGGGGTTTCTTTGTAAACACACCTGGAATGGGTTTGCCTGTTTTGTACTGCTCTGAGGCAAAGTACTCCTTGATCAACGGGCCAAGCTGAGTGCCAAGGTCCACACAATGAAACCAAACTTCATACAGAGACTCTGTGGTTCCATCAATGTAATACCTAACAGAGACAAAGTTGAAAACAGCAAAATAGGGCAAATCAATTTGTGGGCCAACCACTCCAACAGCATACATTTAGCATAATGTTGAAAGTCATCACTACTGTGTATCCACATCATGACTACAGCTAAGATTAATATATCTGTCCATCCCTTCCACGTCAAAGTTAAAACCTGCCTGTCCACTCCAACTCCAACAAAACTTTCCAACTGGTATGACTGGTGCTACATGTATCTCGGTCCAAGCTTTTATAAAGCCCAATGCATTTGGAGGAAATATTTAAGGTCACACTATCATAACAGAATTACCCATGACAGAATTACCAAGACAGGCGAAAGCTCTTTGTACATGCACAGTGCCATACATGCACGAACCGAATTTGGAACATTGACTCTTTTGAGTAGGCCACAACCGCTCTGTCTGCTGTTCTTGCATGGAGTCTACACAGGGCCGATGATTTAATTAGCTCCATAGGACCACTGGTAACCATGCGATATAGCAAATATGGCCACACACTTCATGAAAGCCATACGCATTCCCCCAGAAGTACCTTCCAGTCCTTTCATTCAAATGAAAATTTTTCCATTGAAAATTCCAAGTACTTTCTGACCTCAAATTTGATAAGTCGGGGGAGCAGACTTCTTGAGTTGTTTATTGCCAGGAAACTGTAGGCCATTAAGATTACAAATGAAGATGGATAAGATACATTTCACATTGTTTCTGCACATTTTCATCAATATACCTCAGGCCGTCCTTTTCGTCTTCACTGCGTTCTCGTTCCAGCACCAAGCCTACGGTGTTTTCTTTCCTTTGTGGGGAGTGGGGAATGCAGGCTGGTAACAAAAAGCACTGCAAAGAATCAAGAAACTGTGCATCAGTGCATCTCAATGGATTCACCGCAAAGATTCTTGTTCATTGTTCAGAGGCGGACAAAACTGGATCTTATAAAGACTGCTAATCGGCGAGTTGGTTCTTCTGGCACAGCACAGGAAAATCCAGGCAGCTGAGCAAAGTGATTCTGTTTTCACTTGCTAGCATTATCAGCATACAGAATAGACCTGTAACACAATGTCACACTTTGTTTACATGTGCACGATCCTATGGCAGTGACATCGGACTGTATCATTTGAACTTCCCTTGCCCTCTGTGAAAGTCCCAGAGAGCATACAGCTCATGTGCAATAAAGCAATACTGACCTCTCCTTCCTTGATGGGAATATCTTTGTGTTTTCCTCTTTCTACAATCTTCAGGCACATGTCTCCCTTCTCCATGAAGAAAAACTGTACTGACACAAGCAACAACAGAGTGTATAAGTAATTTACATTTTCAGAGAAAATACTGTCTGACTGGAGCATTCCTTGACATGAAAAAAGTGGGTTCCTTTGACACGAATATGTTTAAGGGAAAGTTCAATGTGACCAAGTGGCCAAGGCAAATACAGTCTGTACACTATCAGACTGCATCGTTCCTTGTATTCCCCACTTTAACCACTTGCTGGTAGTGCTGTTACGGGCTGAAAACAATCACTTTGAAAAACGGCAAGATACAGTAGCCTACTTTTGCTAAGCGCTTCAAGTGGGACCGAGAGAGGTCTAAACTTTCTTAGCAGCAGAGGCTCCTTTGGTCAGAACTGCACTTTGCTGGTTTACAAACGACTATGAAATGCATGCGTTGAGGTTACATCGCTACCAACAAAAAGAACATTCCCAACCAATATGGCTATTTTTAACCGTTGACGAAGTGTTTCTGCTCCAGGCTGATCCCAATACTGCCAGATGCTTCAAGCACTCATTCACATGAGTTACTAGAACAGTATGTTTGAAGCAATATGTGCTCCCTGCCACTTCAGGATGCGATGAGTGGCTGAGTTCACGTTCAACAAACAGTCCGCCTCCACAGACTTGTCGGACTTTATGTAATTGTACAAAACAAACAGGGGATTAGGGTGTTCCAACATCAGCCGGAAGCAAGCTGAGGCACACATAGCTGTGCCTGTGTCAGCCAGATCATGTTTACGCATCCTCCGGTGCAAAGTGGTTAAAAACTGCGACCCAAATCACAGCTGCATCCAGCCCCACTTTCACACTGCTCACTCCCGAGGCCATTTGTTAGCGAAACCTTCCCGATACCTCCAAAAGCCTGATATGCAGCAAAGTGCATCAAGGAGCATCATCAGGCCCGGTGCAAAGCAGCAGTGGCTTAGCTCTAACCTTTCCCAGTTATGGTGAATAAACCAGAGGGCTTTTAGGATTCTGACCATAAAATTAACAAGATAGTGTGAAAAAAATGATCAGGTTGTGCTTCACAGGTGGTCACTTGTGCACACCTGAGTGCAATACGGGCGATTCACAAGAGTGCACCTCCAAGAGTTTGCAACATGTTGACCGATCACAATGCAAATCTGTCGACCCAATCCAACAGATTTCGCGTACTGTGACAGGTCAACGCATTGCAAACTCTTGGAGGCGCAATATTGTGAATCGCCCATATTGTCAAATAATCTTCACCTCTTCCCCTTCTTCAATGTGGTAATCTTTTCGCTGGTTTGGTCCCCCAACAAAGAAGGACTTCATCTGGCCAGCACTGTGCCTGCAGTAAAACAAGACATTGGTAACTGGTGATGACAAACAAGACATTACACACACACTAACTACTCACATGCAAAAATTGTAATAATTTTATAATAATAATTGATAACACAGGCCCTACTACATACATGTTGTGCCAAGTATGCTCAAATGCACTTTATAAATGTGCTGTAGAATGATGATATTAACCCAAAGCGCCTGGGCCTGCCCTTTTGGCTAGGTTGACCCTCAGTCCTTCAAAATCCTTCAACTGCCGGCCCCAATGGAAAACTTGAATACAGCCTCAATCCACAAAAATCCTCT